TCTAAGAAAAACTGATGTTATCTCCTGAAGTGAAAACTCCAGGTTCTATTTGTAACTGAGGATTTCCTGTGTGCCTTTCCCCACCCTGCACAGTGACGACAAGAGGCAGCGGTGCACGGGCTGCTCGTCTTCAGAGAGCTTTAAGAACAGCCCCTGCACAGGAGCTGAAGAAATCCCCAGCCACCCGTGCCTTTGATCTCAGATAAAGGTCAACCTGTCTGGTAGAAAGTGTGATGGGAAACGCTACCACATCAGCCTTCGCTTTATCTTCCTTACCCTGAAGTGATTCACTGTACGTGTCGGGGTATGCCTTCACCACGGCACCCATGGTGTTTGGCTCTTGGGAGTGGCTTTATTCATCTCATGCACCAGCTTAAGCCAGGGCCAGCAAGATTTCATGAGAGCTGCTGAGCAAGTGCCCACAGCACTTGTTGTTGCAGCAGTGTTCCATAGCTGTTGTTGGTTTTTTGTTGGTTTGTTGGAGAGTTTTTAAATCAGACAATCATTTAGATTGGAAAAAAACCTTTAAGGTCATTGAGCCCAGCCATCAACCCAAGTCACCACCAGACCAGTCCTTAAGTGCCATATCTACACGTCTTTTAAATCCCTCCAGGGCTGGTGACTCAGCCAGCTCCCAGGGCAGCCTGTTCCAGTGCCTTCAATGAAGAAATTTTTCCTGATACCTAATCTAAATCTCCACTGGTGCAACTTGAGGCCATTTCCTCTTACCTTGTAGTATATATAGGCCTAGTGGTGTGTTAAAAAATTAGTTATGCTGGTCTTGTCCCAACAAGCACTGAGAGTTTCTGAGACTGTTCAAGCACTGACAACTACAAAGTTCCACCTGACACAAACTCAAAGTTGCTGACACACAAAGCTTTGGGGAGCTGAAGGTTCCAGTCGGTTCTCCCGACGCCACCTCTGCAAGATCATCACTGGGGGGGGAAGAACCTGACTTACACATGCTGGTACAACGATTTGCTTCGTAATTTTGTTATAAGTGCTAATGGAGGGGGGTGCTTAGTTTGAATTTGAGTTCCTCTGTAACCTTAGAAATGTTGCAGCTGTGAAGATTGGTTATGAAGTGACAAGCAACTTACAAAAAGGGAAACATTTTCTCTGCTGAGTCTCCCCAAGGCGATGTTGGGGCTGAGTGTGTGTCTTCCTTCTGGACTGGGATCTGTGCCTTAGCAAGGGCTAAGAGATGCTGCTTAGGAGAAATAGAATAATATTCCCAGGTGGGATGCACCATGGAAATATTTGCTACTGATAGTGGGAGGATCACAGTTTATCCAGTGCATCTTTACAAAGGTCAGTTAAGTCACCTAGAGATAAAAGTTGCTTCTAGGTGTGGATTAAGAAGAAAACCAACCAAACAAAAAGCTAAAGATGGATTGTGCTTTTATCCTGTCCAGTGCATCTTTTGGCACTAAGGCTGCCATGAGGGAGAAGTAACATCTGACTGCAGAAAGTGGGGATTATCTCCAGTAGCTGATGCTCAAAATAAAAGTGGAAAAGGATTGGATCACTGCTCTTGTCCATCATTCAGTCCCTTGAACCCCATTCTGGCAGGTTTTTCTGAAGGATTTACTTCAGGCATAGAGGGCTGCTCTCTACTGACTTGGTGTCAGCTGAGCCACCTCTAGATGATGGTTTGGAGATAGAAAATAACTTAGTTGCATCAGATTCTTGCATGTGCATCAACCCTCAAATTAAGGCTATGCCAGGATGTAGCCATAAGTGCCAGTTCATTCTGCAGAAAGTAGCTCTCCTTTTTCTAACCAGAACTTCTCACTGCTATAATTTCCAGGAATAATCTAGTGAGATGCACTTCTGTGAGGTGCAGGAATGTTTGCTTGAGCCTGTGGAGAGCCTTTGGATATTGCTGAAGGGTTTTCCCTTCTTTCAGTGAAGTATTAATTCAGGTGCCAGGTGATAGTGAACACCTGCCAGTACTCTTGGTTATTTGACTGACCCATTTAAGCCCAGTATTATGTTTCTAAAATCAAGCTCTTACACTTGGCATAGATTTTTTAAGGTGGTACAGGCTTTAGAGATGTGAAAGGAGAGGTGTTGAGGTGTTTTTATGGTTTATCCTAGGAAAAATGCATATGGACTCCTGTGAGAAAAGAGCCCTGCTACCTCCAAAGGCTCCAAGATGAACTTGCACCACTTAGACTACTCTGCAGGGGTAATTTGTTTTTTCTTAGTAATTTTGGTTCCTCAATTGGATTTTTTTTTGTTCATTTGAACTCTTCATAGGTTCCAAAGTTTTCAGATGAATTTCACTGAAAATAGTTTTGCACTTTGTACCCAAGGTGTGCCTGAGAATGCTTTTGGTGAACAACCACATTTTCTAAATCCCACAGTAATGCTGATTTGGAATACTTTTACTCCACACCAAGGATTTTTATGCCATTATTTTTCCTTTGAGCCTCTGTCATTGGAAAATGGTATTTATGGGTTGTCTGTATCAGCAATCTGTTAATTACAAACTCAGAAGTATTAGAAGTCATACTACCACTATATTCTAGTATCCAATATAGAACCTCTAATGTACACAAATTTTATTTCACAGAGAAATAGGTGGTTCAGGTAAAGGTTGTGCATAACGATGGAATTTTCAAAAATGCAGTTTAGGTGATTTCTTTCCAAGCTTAGTGAATTTTAATGAAAACAACTGTGCTACATCCACGTGTGAGTGTCACTGAGTACCATCTTTGTGGTACAATTTGTTTGCTTTTGGATGTGTGTTCCTGCTCCACATATCCTTAGCACATACTTCTTTTCTTTGAGGGAAAAGGTGGGGGAATGCTTGGGATTTTTTTGTGAAAGAGATTGTTAGTATGTTTCAGATAAACTTAAGGCTGAGTGGTGTTTAGCCATGTACTGGAAGTCTCAACTATTCCAATACTTTACATGTTGTTATAATTCTCAGAATTTTGATGTGCTTTACATCACTTTCCCATGTTCTTTTGGTGGCCTGTTAAAATACTCCACTTACTGAGAAATACCAAACCAACCCCCCAAAAATCTTATGTCAAAGGTAATATCTGGCCATAAAACTACTGGCTTGGAAAGCATCCCTGTATCTCCTTTGCACCACGGCAGAGATGCAGCGATGGCGTTTCGATGGGACCTTGCCGAGCCAGGCAGGAGAGAGACAGCCGGGTCAGTAACCCGTATCATCTCTGGTACTGCAGTGCCCGCCGTAAAACGGTGGCAAGAGCCGTTTCCTATCTCATGGCAGGATGGCAAGAGGGAATGCTTCTCTCGGGTCCTCAGCTGCCTTTGCAATAGACTGAAAGAAGCAGAAAATATCTTGTGAATATAAACGAAGGGCTGTTCCACCTGGTTTGAAGGGCGCTGACGGTAAAACACAGACTAGAATCTCTCTGTAACGCTGTCAGAGAAGCGTGGCAGAACTTCAGCCCTTCAGCAGAGCCCAGTGCCCGGCGGTGCCGCGGCAGCTCCATGAGCTCTGCTCGCCCTGCCGGGCGCAGGCGGGGGCAGCGTGTGCAGAGCGGGCAGCTCCGAGCTCCGCCGGGCCGAGCCCCGGGGCGCTCCCTCTGCCGGCGGGGCCGCGAGGAGCCGCGGCTGCGGGACAGAGCGGGGCTGGGGCCGGAGAGGGGCAGGTCCTGCCTCCCTCCCTCCCTCCCTCCTTCCTTCCTTCCCCGGCGGCCCGCGGGAGCGGCGGTGCCCGCGCGGGAGCGGCTCCCGGCGGGAGGGCGGGGAATCCACGCCGGGATTTCGGAGGCACACTGACATCAGGGGGGCGCGGCCGGCGGCGGGCGGGGGCTGCGCGCTGAAAGGCGGCGAGGCGCGGCCCGAGTCACTCCGGAACGGCGGCGGGGCAGCGCGGAGCGGCTGCCGGCACTGCCCGGGCTGGATCCGCGCCGCCAATGTGCCGCGGGAGGCGGGCGCTCACCCCGGCCCTAGGTAAGCCCGGGCGGCGCTCGCCGCGCCGCACACCCCCCTCCCGCCGGGTCAGGTGCGGGCGGGCGGCCGGGGCTCCCCGCGCCGCGCTTGGGGCGGCTGCGAGGCGTGCGGGAGGTGCGGGCGAGCTGCGCTCGCTGCTCCGCGGGGCAGCGGGCGGGAGAGCCGAGGCTCGGCTCCCCGGGCCGGCAGCGCTGAGCTGGGCTCGATTCGCTGCTCACAGAGAAGCTCCGTGTCGGTACTCGCCTGTCCCGCCCGACGCGGGGTCTCCGGCGCGTCGGGGCTTTGCGCGATCCTCTCGAGCCTGCGGAGACCTCGGTACCAGACTGCGGCGTGCGGGGCCGCCTTTCCCTGCCGCGTCCTGCCCGTGCCCCGAGCCTGTCACTCGGCCCCCGGCAGCGACAGCCAGCACATGGCTGTGTGCAGGGAGCTCGCAGGGCCATTGCATTGCGCTGCCTCTGGCTTCGTTCGCAGTTCGCTGAGCTCTGCCTGGAGAGCCAGAGCCGCTTCGTGATTGCTTTAAAAAGAAAATTAAAAAATCAAAACAAAGAAAAAAAAAACAACCAAATCTTTCGCACCCGAGGTTATGGTTGCACTTTGCCAGACGGGACTTGCGGCAAGGACCATGCGGTGAAGCCGAGCGCCGGAGCGGGACCGTAGCCGTACACCCTGCGATCGCAAAGGGAAATAACAAACAGCCGGAGCAGGAGCCGCGCACCCGCCGCCTCTTCCCGAAGACCTGCGTCGCAACAGCCCCACTGCCTGCCGCAGCCTGCAGCCGCCTGAGGCTCGATCCAGACACTCCGCTTTGCAGGAAGGGCTGGATTTGCTCCCCGTCGCCTCCGGACCGAGAGAGCTGCGGCCGAAGGAGAGCGCCGCTTCCCCGGGCGGCCCGGGCCGCTGCATACTGCCCCCCGGGAGAGGGGAGCTGCGGTGGGCAGAAGAGCGGAGCTTTTCTCCGCTGGCTCAGTAGAACGTGGAGATCGGCGAGCGAGGGCTGTGCGGGGACGAGGAGCGCAGCCCGCCGGCCTTCCCTGCCCCGGGGGCCGAGAGAGCGAGGAGCCGGGGCCCCGCCGCCCCTCGCCCGCTGGATTTGCCGTTCTCGGTGGCTCCGTGCACATCAGTAAGTTGGGACCCGCCGTGCGCTCACACCGGGGCCGGCGCTGCCGCAGCGAGCAGGTGCCGCGGAGCGCTGCGGCGCCCGCCCGGCGAGGGGCGGCCCCGACCACCCTCCCACCGCCCCCCTCGCGGAATGGAGGCACCGGGCTGCTGCGGGAAGGCTTGCTGGGGACTGCGGCTGCTGTGAACGAACAGAATGTCAAAAACACACCCCAGGCGCTCCTCGGAGGTGGGGGCCGGAGGGGCTGAGTCGGGGGGTGCTGAGCCGCAGCGCGGAGATCCCCCGGGGCTGAGCGGCCGCTCGTCTGCCGCTTTAAGCGCCAGGTAATCCGCCCTCCCGAGGCAGCGCTGGGCTAAGATCTGCCTTCCTCTGTGGAGGAGAGAGAGAAGGAGGAAAAAAAAAAAAAAAGCCTATGTTTTCATTCATAACTTTTTTTTTCTTCCCCTTTTCCCCTCCTCTTCCTTCCTCTCCGTCAGCGCCGTGATCCGCTCCGCTCCGCTCGGGGCGCAGAGGGCGCCGCGCCGCCGCCACCCGCCCGGGGCTGCGGGGAGCGGGGCGGAGCGGGGCGGGACGGGGGGGCTGGCGGCGTGTCCGAGCGGGTGTGGAGAATGGGAGGGAAGCGGGATCCCACCCCCGAGGTGCGGGGAGGGAGCGCAGCCTCGGGTGCAGAACCGTGAGGGCTCTCGCCGCCTGCGCCGTACGTTATTTTATTATTTTGTTTTACTCGTTTCTATTTTATTGTCCGGGGGGGAAGCAGTTTACGAGCGATCTGCGCGGGATTGGAGGTGGCTAGTTCAACTCTCGCCCCGATCTGCAGCTGGGCTTGTCAGTCTGCGCCGCGTTGATGTTGCACTTTCCCCCCAAAGATGGCACTGGATGTCTTTCGCATTTTCTTGGGATATTGTTTTTCATCCCCCAGGGAGCCCAGCTCCTGGCTGGTACAGCTGTAAATCTTCCCCTTTTCGCATTCATTCACCCTTGGTCTGTTGTGGATTTGTATTCAGTGCTCGTGAAGAAGGCGGCTCGTTGAGTGGGTAGGAGGAAATTCTTTGCTGGAGGGTGGTGAGGCACTGGCACAGGAAAAAACTGAATGCCCCATCCCTGCAAGTGTCCAATACCAGGTCGGATGAAGCTTTGAGCCACCTGGTCTAGAGGAAGGTGTCCCTGCCCATGGCCGGGGCTTTGGGTCTGCACAGTCTTTTAGGTCTCCTCCAACCAAGCCGTTCTGTGATTCTATTCTGTGAATTACAAGTGAGAGTGTTTGGTTTTCTGTTTAATCTGGTGACCACAAAGCCTACACAGGTGATGTTAGATGTAAAATGAAATCTTTGACTACTACAGAGGCAGTGTCACGGCAGAAGCTGTCACTTTCTGCCCATGGTGACTGCTGCTAGAAAAAACCTTTCCTCTTCTTCTTTCTGTGCTTCCACACCACTAGTGCCTTTTTCTCTCTGGAGTGCAGAACAGCTCCATGCTGGCTGTGGTCTGGATAGGTAAGACACTTTCTTAGGATTATTGGATGAGTTTTTGAAATGCTTGAGAGCACTTACCTTTCTCTGCTGTCAGGTAAACACTTACGGCATCTCAGGGAGGAGCGAAAAGGGACTTTTCCTTTGGCTGACAGTAAAGAAAAGCAATTTGTTGTCTTGGTTCCCTGCATAAATGTGGCTCTTAGATACTCAGTTACATTTTTGTGTAGGTGCAGAACTGTCAATGCAGTTTTCTCAGTCAATGTTGCAATCTTCATGTCTCTAGCTAGACAGGATGGAAATGTGTAACATCTCTACTATTCTACTAAAAAATAGATGAGCAGATGTTCTGTTTATTTGAGAAGCTTTTAATCTGTCTTGTGAAAATGGATTTGTTCCTTGTGTTTTGAGGTTGTTGTTGAGGGGTTTTTATCTGCTCTGAACATTCTCATGAATCCTCAGGTACTTTTTGTTTGATACCTAGTTCATCTAAGCGTTTTCTACCCCAGTTTTCTTTCACCCTCCAGCCTGTGGTCAGGAAATATTTGAAAACAGGTTGTTTGCACCCTTGCTTTAATTTTATAAAGGAGCATATTAGATGTGTAGGCTGAGTTACTTTCTCACAGAAAATGTCTTGGCCACTTGACAGCACTTAGTTCAGGACTCTGTAATGCACATACGTCACTTTAAGAGGGAGACTTTCCAAATGCACTAGGAAGCACATCTGTGGAGCTTTCTGATGCTGCAGATTCAGGCAGAAGAGTGAGAATTGGGCTCGTTCCTCACTCTGCCATATGAAACATGAATGTAGTGGTGTTCTTGGCTGTTTCCAGCTCGGTGTTGGGGGCATTCAGAATTGCTGTTTCTAGAGACAGATGTTCAGTTCAGTAGCAAGGGAGAGGCACTTCCCATAGCTTGCCAAGTAAGCATACATGTTAATACTGGATTTTTATTTTTTTAATTTTTTTTTAAAATGGCATGGGGTCTCCTTTGCATTCCTCATTTATGATGCCATACCCAGACTCTTCCCATTACTGGACTTTGGCCAGATCCTCAGCACTGCTGTAATCCCCTGCTGAAAGTGATCAGTACCAGGTGGCTGGGGCAGTTTGGGCTCTGCCAGATCATTTCTGTTTTCAGAAAGTATCCTGTGCTTTATCCCTCCGCTGCCCTTGATCTCATGTGTGTATATGTACACAAGCAGTGTTTATTTACACCTTCTGTCTCCTTCCTTATTTCAGGATTTCAGATGCATGCCAGGTTCCTGCTGAATGCCAGCAGCAGAGATCACTACAGATGGAGCCCCAAAGTCAGCACGGCAGCGGTGGCTCCCTGGTGGTGATTCAGCAGCCCTCCCTGGACAGCCGGCAGCGCTTGGACTATGACAGGGACAGCCAGCCCACGACCATCTTGTCACTGGACCAGATCAAGGCCATCAGGGGCAGCAATGAATACACCGAGGGGCCGTCGGTGGTGAAAAAATCGGGTCCGCGGACGGCGCCGAGGCAGGAGAAGCACGAGAGGACTCACGAGATTATACCAATTAATGTGAATAATAACTACGAACACAGGCCCGGCCATGCGGGGCACGTGGCACATCAGCATAACGCCAGGGCTCCCGTCCTGAGCCGCTCGACCAGCACGGGCAGCGCAGCCAGCTCCGGCAGCAACAGCAGCGCCTCCTCGGAGCAAGGGCTGCTGGGGCGCTCGCCGCCCTCCCGCCCGGGCTCCGGCCACAGATCCGACCGGACAATCCGGGCGCAGCCCAAGCAGTCGGCCTTGATCGTGGACGATCTGAAGGGGCCCTTGAAAGAGGACTTGACGCAGCACAAGTTCATCTGCGAGCAGTGCGGGAAGTGCAAGTGCGGGGAGTGCACGGCGCCGCGGGCCCTGCCCTCCTGCCTGGCCTGCAACCGGCAGTGCCTGTGCTCGGCCGAGAGCATGGTGGAGTACGGCACCTGTATGTGCCTGGTCAAAGGGATCTTCTACCACTGTTCCAACGACGATGAAGGGGACTCGTACGCGGATAATCCCTGCTCCTGCTCCCAGTCACACTGCTGTTCTAGGTACCTGTGCATGGGAGCCATGTCCTTGTTCCTGCCTTGCTTGCTCTGCTACCCTCCGGCCAAAGGATGCCTAAAACTCTGCCGGGGGTGCTACGACCGCGTCAATCGTCCGGGATGCCGGTGCAAGAACTCCAACACGGTCTATTGTAAACTGGAGAGCTGCCCCTCCCGGGGTCAGGGCAAGCCCTCATGATTTTGGGAGGGAGGTTTACTTCCTCCAACTTCAGTTTTTCAGGTTGTAGCTGATTTTTTTTTTCCTCTCCCCTCATCTTTTCTTCTTCCCCCGCTCCTCTCCCATTTTGGGAGGACTGTTCCTTTCCTTTCCTTTCTGTCTGCCCAACTTCAGACACATGAGTTCTTCCCCTTGCATCTTTGCTCTCCTCCTCCTACTGACTTGGCTGAGTGTGGAGCATTTCACGCAGTCGCTGCTGCTCTTTGGTAAGTGTGGACCTGGGATCTGCACCTGCCGCTCGCTCGGGCAGGGTCTCTGAGTTTGTAACTGAACCACTCCTGAAAGAGACAGTGAGGGCTCACTGGGCTCTTGAAGCTTCTTGCTCTGTGAATATCTTCCCAAAGATGTTTTTTTTTTGTTGTTCTCAGCAAGTTATGTTTTTTTTTCTCCTTAACCTCTCGGGTGCCAAGGAAGAATAACTTTTCTGAGTGAGGTGGATTGTGAAATAACTTTTTGTGTGTGTTCTTTCTGGAGAGGGATGTAAAATAAAGGCTTCACCAAATGAAAGGCCTGACTCTTCTATAAGCAGCCTGCTTCTTTTTGCATCTTTTTTTTCTTTTCCCCTCTCTTTTTGTCTTTTGGAACATTCTCAGACCTGAGAATTGCCCTGCCTCTTTTTTTTTTCTTTTACATTTTCAATGTAACTTCAGTTTTTGCTACACTATGTAGATCTTCACATTGGAGACATTGTGGCTGCAACATACTCATTTGTTTCTTTTGCTGTCCAGTCTTTGAAGGATATTGCTCACTCCACCCTCCTAATCCCATTTTTATAGTCTGTCAGTATCAGTTCATATTAAAGTTGGTGGTGTTCATATATCCAAACAGCCTTCAGGTGTCATTGAGTCACCCAAATGCTCTTGAATCCTTCAAGTCTCTTGTGATCCTTTGGCTTAGTGAGTTTAGCTCTGCTCTGTACTTTATAATTTTATTCTGTCCCTGTTTTATTGCCTTAGCCACAAATTGTGGTCCTTTTTTGTATATTTTATGTATAAAACACAAAGTTGAATCCCAACTATTTTTAAGACAAAAGTCTGTTAAAACTTTTTTTATTGTAAAGAATATTTATTATGTGAATCTCTATTATTTTATGATATTTATTGCAAAAGACTTCGAAAATGTACTCATGTCTGAATATAACAAAATATCAATACTTAACGAAATAAGGATGACACGAAGAAAGTACATATGTTAACTATAATGCAGAAAATATATTAATTAATGAAAACGCCTCTGGAGTTCTTTTGTTACAATGACAGGTTGTGAGCTACGTGTGTGTATTGCTGGGCTGGTCCTCCTTCAGGTCTGTCAGGTGGCAAATAGCTTCCTGTTAATGCTTCAAAGCCACTAGTCTGTGCTCTAGTTTAGTTTACCTAATTTTAACTTTAAGCCAACTATATATCAAATAAGGGATGTTTAATACAATTGAATCTGTGTTGTGCTTAAGAGTGCCAAGAAATGGAGGCTCTATTTATTTACCAAAGCATTTGGAAATACAGTTGTGGAGGAGGAAACCACAACTTCCAAATTGTTTTGGTTTTTTTTTCCTTAAGGAATACCACATTAACATGCAAAGCCGTTTAAAATTTTTCTATATAGAACTTCCTGGCTGGTTAAATTGTGCAGCAGCTGCAGAAATTAATCTCCCCAGCTCTATTCTAAATAAAAAGCTTGGAGGCAGCATGAAAAATAGTGATTGTGTTGCTGTAGTTTGGTAGCTTTGAAATCTGGGAATGTGTGTGTTTGGGCCTATGTCTATGACTTATTTGATTCTTTTCCCATACATTTTCCAATGTCAACTGAATCTTCTGTCTTTAAATTAAAGGCTCTTAAGGGTGACCTAAGTGTCACAGCTACTTGTGACCATTTAACACACATTCAACAGAAAAAGCTTTTCATTAAGAGTGAATGGGGAGACCTCATTCTTTTCCTCATGTGGGTCAAGGTTACATCACAATTCTGCTGAACTTTAAAAGTTTTAAATGGATGCGATTTCACATGGTGTTTACAATAAGTGGTTCTAGAGAAACTCCACTTCAGAACAGAGCAATGACTTGACAAATGTGTCATATCTTGCTCTTTTTTGAAGCCCTGCTGCTTTGAATTGCCATATTCAAGCTGCACTGACTCCCAGCACGGTGATGATTTGAATAAGCTGGCCTTTTAGTAGTTAATTCCATCCCAGCTGATGCAGTGTCATGGAACAAAGCTGACTGAAAAGCTGCTTTTTTATTGAACAGCACAGATGACCCCTGAGAGGTACAAAGCAAAATCATCATCCGAGTGCATCTAGGAATGCTTTGCAGGGTGCAGGTGGTGCTGCTCCTCTGTGTGACACAAGTGACGGGCTGGGGGCTTGTGGGACAGCAGTGGATGCACACGGATCCTGCTTTCCAAGATTTCTCAGGAGGAAGCAAAGCCAGGAGAGGAATATTGCTGAGGAGCAGAGACTTGCACTCCTTCGCTGTCACCGCGCGTCTCTGCGAGCGACAGCTGCAAACGGCCCCGCGGACACAATGGAGGCCTTGTCCGGCGCTGGCCAGAGATGTCCACTGGTAACTGCGTGCTGACAGCCGGGAACACGGAGCCAACGGCCTCCTCACTGCTGGATCTCAGCCAGCTCCCTGCTCAGGGCCTTTGCTCCAAGGGTGCTGCTTCTGCCTCCTCAAGGAAAGCGTTGCCCTCTGTAGCTCTGTCTCTTCTTTTTTTTTCAGCCAGGTGACTTATGTGGGGGGTTGGGTTGGTTCCCAGCCAAAGAGAAGAAATCCCAAAGGACTCACGTGTTCTCCATCTTTTATGATTGTCTTTCATCAGGAGCTATGTCGTGGCACTGTTTCAGATCTCTTTTTTTGAAACAAAAGCTACGCTCTAGTTAGTCATACTAATGCTCCCTTTACTAACCAGATTTTGGGAATAACTGAAGAAAAATTTGATCTGGACCTACACAGCAAAGAGAAGAGAACAGTACCTTGCAGTGTTCCATGGTTTTCTAATTGCCAGGTAGAGCAGGCAGTGTTAGAAAAATGAGAATAATGTATTTTTCTTTTGGGTTAGATGCTGTGTGCTTTGTATTTAACATACGAATGTATCTGAGCTCACTTCCAGATACTCTGGAATGTAAGGTCATTGCCACTATGCCACGGAAATGACTGGGGATTCATCGAGGCAGCTGGATTTTGTGGTGTAGAACCACACAGGGTTGCATGAGAACACAGGAATGACTTTCCAGCTGACAGCTGGATGAAGTGAAGCTGTGAAGCCTCCACAGCCTGAAGAGACACAGGTTACTTTAAATAAGCCCCAAGTGCTCAGCCACTGTGTCTGTTGAACTTTCCACAGTGGAAGGGAGAAGATGCTGTGTTCTGTTGGAAGGGGATTTGCTGAGGGGATTTCCAGCAATTAGGGCACTGAAGTGCACATTTCAGTCCTTCAACCCCAAATTTACCAGGGGGCTGTTGGAGGTTACTCCTCCGTGTCTGCAGAGCGCCAGACTGTCAGAGCCTGTTGCAACGTAGCTCATAAAAATTACATTTTTTATCCTGGTATTTCTGAAATTTCTTGTTTTGAGAAGCCAAGAGAACGCTGTGTAAAAATGGTGGTGTAATTAGGCAGTAAGCTCAGCTGACCTACTGACCTAATTGCATGGGTGGGTGATAGGTTTGGCCGAGGCTGCCATCTGGTTCCAGCAGTAGAGGCCTTGGACGTGTAAGGTCTGGGCTGAAGGAAAAGGCAAGTCCAGCAAGCTGGAATTCTTGCTTTGTTTAGTGTCTTGAAACTCATTATAAGAGATAAGTTTAGGAAACAGTAATAGCAATAAAAACAAAGGGTGGATAAAGTTTCCGTGTTCCATGCTGGAGGAATCCATGGCTGGGATGAGAATTTGCGCTCAGAGTTGGGGAGTTTCTCCAAAGATGGCTCCATTACACCAGTGCTGGGGTGGGTGAGGGCGTTATCCACGGGGGGATAATTCCTAACAAATGAAAAGTACTTGCTCTTCTTTATGGTTCCATATCATAAGAACAGGTGGGAGAGGATTAGCTCCTCTGTCTGTGATAAAGCAAATCTGTTAAGACGGATTAAAGGGGCTAGATGAAGTGTTTTAATGGATTTATATGAAGTAATAGACTTTTGTCCTGGAGGAATGTTCAGGACTCACTGATACTTCTGCATTTCTTGTTCTGCTTAAATTACTTCCAAATTCTAAGGAATCCTGATTAATTGTTGGCTTTCTTCCAGCTGGAGTATTTGTGTCAGTCATGGTGGTGCTTCAAAAAACTGCAATAAAATTCTGTTCTGCTGTCACCCAGCTGGATTTGCCAGCCCTACACAGCACACGGGGCTGCACAGGTCCTGTTCTGATGACCCTTCATTTGGAGGGCAGTTTGCTTTTAGGGCAGCTCTTAACCATTTGTAGTTCTTCCCTGTGGTTGTGTTTCACCTTCCTCTGCCTGGTGGGAAGAGCCATGGCTTCTCCCCTTGGCATTAGTTACCCAGCCATGTGGAGCCCGTGGTAAGGAGCTTTCTGCTCACTGGAGGGATCTGCTCAAAACCTTGTGATCTCCAGAGTGATACTTACAGGTCGGTTTATATTTGTGATAAATGGATACAGTGCAGTTGGTTTTCCCAGGAGCTGCCATTCTCCCTCCTCCTGGTGAAGGTGTCTTAGATAGTACCTCATTTACTTACTCATTTACTTGCCAATTTATTTACCAATAAATACAAATTCGGAAAATTTTTCCTGCAAACCACACATGGCTTGGCTTCTTAGTTTAAGTATGTCTGGGTGAGACACTAGTCTTAATGAACAACTTTTGATTTTAGCATCAAAAAAGAACCAGAAATTCACCTGGATTTTTCAACATTCCTGATACGTGCATGGGGTGGCATTAAAAGAGAAACAGTGTGCTTCCGGGAGAAGTACATATTCCAAAATTAGCTTGAAAGTGTGGTAGTCCTTTATTTAGGAGCAGAGAAACATCCATTTGGTCAGTCCTTGGAGAAAGGTGTGCCTGATAGCCGTGGCTGTGGCGTTGTAAGCACGCCCTGTTTTTGTGAACCTTTGTCTACACGTTGGGTGCCCCGACCTGAAAACAAACATCCTGCAGAACACGATGTCAGGAGGCACAAACAGCCTGACAGAGGCTCTGCCCCCAGGGGCTGAACCCCATTGTGTTTGTGCAAGAAAGAGCACAATGGGACATCCTGCCTGACCCCGAAGGGTCGCTGCTGGAGTATGAGCGCGTTTATTCCATGGAATATTTCTTCTGAATGGAGCTGATGGATTTACATCAGTGAATGAGCTGGCCGGGCGACAGTGCTTGCACTGCCTTAGGAATGCCCAGTGCTCATAAATGCTCGGATGTTCTTAGTTTGTGGGATAAAGTGACTGTAGGAAGTAGCTGGAGCTCCCTAAATAGGCTGAAATTATATAACTGATTAACTACTTAATGGCTATTTTAAATGAAACCTCCTGTTTTCTGGCACATGCTTCAATTTCCAAACCACCTGAGTGTTCTTGCAGTGCTACGAGGATTCCTCTTCCACACTCCAAGCAGGAGGAAGAGATGAATTTATGTGACCTGGTGAAGGTTCTCTCCAAAGCTTCGTTTCTTGTGTGATGTGTGATTTGTTTTTTGGATCTGTGCACTTTATGTGCAGCACACTTCCAGATGAATATGAATAAACTAATTGCCTGAAAGGAAGGGGGAAGTGCTGGAGCTTTCCTCTAACCTGGATATGGGGAGATTGCACAGTACCTTCTTTTCATACCAAAGTCTTACCTAAATCCAGTCTCACTTACCTGACTCATTATTTTTAGGGAATAATTGTCAATTTGTTCATTTTTCTACATGGTATGCAAAGTTCTGGATAAAATGTGCTACGACTACAGGAACGCCTGTGCTGTCACCGAGGCACTTTTTGATTTAATACATTTTTACATGTCCTGTATCTCATCCAAGGTGAGGATAAACCTGGTTAGTCAAGGTGGGACATACAGGATAGTTGGACGTCATTAATTTGTTTTGTTCTGATATTCAACTCCAGGTATGAACTTTGCCAAACTTTGGCTGTGCCTGAGCTCAAATGTACTGATCTGCCAAAAGTATGTGAAGAAATACTGTAAGAATTGAAAATGCACCAGTTCTGCTGTGTTAAATAGCCAAAGGCTCTCTCTGGTTGAGACAGAAGGTGACATTGTGGAGTGTCCATAGAGATTTTTGTATGGGCTTT